AGTCATATATATATATTATATATATATAATTATATATAAGTTAGCATATATATGTTATCAAGGAGACAGTTTAGACTAAAGGAAAAACAAACTATTTTAATATACAAATGCTCATAAAGTTCATGAGATATACAAAATAAAAAACACCATGCTGTGTTGAACATCTGTCTGGTTGAGCATAAGGCCAACAAGTTCCAGAGAGTGGCTGCGCCTTCTTGAAATGAGAAAAACACCAGGACACCCCACCCTGACCTGCAGTCAAACTATGATAAGGGGCATTATCATTGCAAAAGCTAACAACACTCAAAGTATGAAGAAAAAGGAATTCATATACTATTGTGTAAGATAAAAACTGTGGAGTAAATCCCAGCACTACGAAGGAACCCATAGCCACTGCAGCACAAGTTCAACCCCTGGCCAAGTTGCTGACCCACATGGTGTGGCAGACCTCGCCGGTCTCACCTGCTGCTCTCCTCAGGTGTATTTCAGCCAATCTACCTGGTCTGTTCCCTACTTGGTCTTTGGTGAATCCTCTCAGCAACCCCCACTTCCACTCCCATCTCCCCCACACCCCTCCTCCCTCTGGCCTACACCCAGCTCTTATTTACATAAATAAACCTTTAAAAAAAAAAACAAAACTGTGGGCTATAAACTGCCACAAACAGTGCTAGTTTCCTACCCAAAACTTGACTCTCATTTTAAATATGATTGCTTTCTCTTACCTTGCATGCTTCATAATCTTTCCGAATATAATGTAGATGTATCAACCAGTTCTGCTTCTCCAAAATAGGAAACTCTGGTGCTAGTATCATATTTTAAGAAAACAAATAATAGTCATTGAGTCATTGTTGGACTTCTCTCCATTAGCACTGTGCTCAAATCTTCCACATATTGAAATGCAATGTAAAAATACAGATTTTTCATGCTGCCGGCGGTAAGACTACAATGCATCAGAAATGCACAGACTATTGGGACTTCCTTAATGGTGTAAGAGGTTAAGTCTCAGCACTATGAAGCTATCAGCAGACACTGCAGCATGAATTCAATCCCCAGGCATGGAGTTGACCCTTGTGGCGCAGCAGACCTCTCCTGTCTCACCAGCTGTTCCCCTCAGCTGTGTATTTCAGTACATCTGCCTCTTCTGCTCCCCACTCTGTCTCGTGGCCTGCTGCATCTCTGGCCTGTATGCCAGTTCTATATGCATAAATAAATACTTTTTTTAAAGGAAAAAAAATTATTCTGCATTGGATTTTTAGTTGAATTTTTTTCTAAAATGATTAAAACTTTTGTTAAGGGCCTCCCTGGTGGCACAGGAGTTAGCAATCAAGTTAACCCACAAATAGCACAGAAGACCTCTCCTGTCTCACCTGCTTCTACCCTCAGCAATGTATTTCAATTAATCTATCTGTTCTGCGCCCAACTCTTTTGTCTCTGTGAATGCTCTCTCCCTCTCTCCCCCACACCTCACACACATCCCACTCTGACCTACACCCCACTTTTTTTTATTACAAAAGTTTATTTTTACATCATTTTGTATATATTTTTTGCATCTCAATTGTAATCCCCACGGGTTTCCCATCACCAAGTCACTCGTGTGCCATCACCATAATCCTGTGCATCCTCTCCCCCCCCCCCCCGTTTTTGATCCCATTCCCCACTCCACCCCCACAAAATGTCTCTGGTATATGTTCATTATTTTTGTTATTTTCTCGCATGGTCCATTATACTCCTACTATGAGTGAAACCATCCGGTATTTTTCTTTCTCTTTCTGGCTTATCTCACTAAGCATGATCTTTTCCAGCTCCATCCAAGTTGCTGCAAAAGACATGTGTTTCTCTTTTTTGGTTGCTGAGTAATATTCCATTGTATATATGTACCACATCTTTTTTTATCCAGTCATCTACTTTTGGGCATTTGAGCTGATTCCATGTTTTTCCAATTGTAAATAAAGCAGCAATAAACATGGGGGTACAGGTATCTTTTTCAATCAGTGTTTTTGTGTCTTTTGGGTAGATACCTAAGAGTGGGATTGCTGGGTCGTAGGGAAGCTCCATGTTTAGCAGTTTGAGGAACCTCCAAACAGTTTTTCATAGTGGTTGTACTAGTTTGCATTCCCACCAGCAGTGCAGGAGAGTTCCTTTTTCTCCACATCCTCACCAACATTTGTTGTTGCTAGTTGTTTGAAGATGTGCCATTCTCACTGGGTATAGCCCACTTTTTTAAAGATTTATTTTATTTATGCATACAAGAACTGGGGTAAAAGCCAAAGAGGTCTGAAGGATGTGAGGACCCACCAGAGACCCCCCTATAATTTTCACTGGAAAATTACAGAAAATCTGAAAGTTGTCATTCAATTAATGCTAATTTCCGTATGTTGTAATAGGATTAAAACATTTTATACCTCAAAATAATATTTGGAACAACAAAAGATGTAACAAATCTCAAAAAGAATGTGAACATGAAGCACTTTTATTACTATGAGTTTTAGCTGTATCTGTCAGTGTCTAGCAAGAAAACATGGAAATCTCTTGAGGTTATCTAAAAGAGGGACTTTAGAGCCTTCCTGGGGTCCCAAGGAGTTAAGTCTCAGCACTATGACGCTATCTGTGAGTTCAATCCTCCGCCAGGGAGCTGATCCACATGGTGCAACAGACCCTTCCTGTCTCACCTGCTGCTCCCCTCAGCAGTATACTTCTGCTCCCCACTCTGTCTCTGGTGAGTCCTCTTACCCCCTCTATCTCTGGCCTTTAACCCCAGCTCTTGTATACATACATAAAGAGATACAATAAATCTTTTTTAAAAATAAGAGGGTCTTTAAATGCAGTAATAAGCAATGGAAGAAATTTAAGTTGCAAAGGGGAATAGTGACAGAAATCAGAGGCAGATGTTCTTTTGTACTTTGCCTTTTTTTTAATTGTATAATAGTTTATTTTTACATATTTTTGTGCATTTTTCCATCTCGTTGTAATCCCCATGGGTTTCCCATCACCAAGTCGCCACTGTGCCATCACCATAGTCCAATGCACTTCTCTCCCCCTCCACCCCCAGTTTTTGACCCCATTCCCCACTCCACCCCCACAAAATGTCTCTGGTATAAAGCTGTCATCATTATCATTATTTTCTTGCCTGTTCCGTTATATTCCTGTAAGAGAGAAACCATCCAGTATTTTTCCTTTTCTTTCTGGCTTATTTCACTAAGCATGATCTTCTTCAGCTCCATCCATGTTCCTGCAATGTACTTTGCTTTTTTGATACACAAAATTTATGTTGGGAATCACTCCATATAAAATCATAGACTTTGTCCTTATTTTTATAATTGTATAGGACTAGTACTCTACTATACAACTATACACTACAGTTTACCACTCTCATATGTATCATTTATTTTTAGCACTTCAAATCATAATGTTACAATAACATTATAAACATTTGTCACTGTCATGTTATCTTCAGGGTAAGTTCTAAAAATGTGATTTCTGAGTAAAAAGGTAAACATATAAGAATTTTTATTAGATACTGTCAAACTTAATTCCATAATGACTATAAAATTTAGAGCATTAGGGCCCTCCCTGGTGGCAAAACAGGTTAAAGCACAGCACTATGAAGCTAACTGCAGCCGTTGCAGCATGAGTTTGATCCCCTGCCCCGGAGGTGACCCACACGGCGCGGCAGACCTCGGCAGACCTCTCCTGACCCATGGCTGCTCCCCTCAGCAGTGTATTTCAGTAGATCTGCCTGTTCTGCTCCCTGCTCTGTCTCTGGTGAATCCTCTCACTGTTCCCACTCCCTGCAACTCTGGCCTGTACCCTAGTTCTTCTACGCATAAGAACTATCAGCAATGTAAAGCAGTACCTGTTTCCCACAGGGTCACAAATTAAATGTGTACTCATACTTTTTTAATTTGTGCCATTACAGGTGAGAAATGGCATCTTAGTATAGATTTAATTTTAACTTCTTTCAGAGTCTGGATGAATGTTGCTTTCATATGCTCACAAATGATCTCTTTATCATGTAGATGGAAACTGGCTTTTTTTGTCCCATTTCTACTGAAATTTTGGTCTTTCCCCCCTCCGGTTTCTAAGAGTTTTTTTATATTAGGGATATTAGCTGTTTATCTGTGATCTAGGCTGCAAATATTTTTATCCAGTATTTTATTTCTCCTTTGTTTTTTCTCATTATAGTATCTTTTGCCATGTAAAAGAGAAATAATGCAATCATATTTATCAATCATTTATTGCTCTGGCTATATTTTCTTTTAGTATATGAATGATCATATACTTTATTCTTTATTAGATGACTGATCCATCTGAATTTTATTAATGCCTATAATGTGAATTACAATCTATCAAAATAGCTATCCATCTGTCCCAACATTTACTAAAAAGTACATTTTTAATAATTCCAGGTACCAATAGGCATGTGTCAATTGATGTTTCAGTTAACAAGGAAGCACATATATACTGATCCCACATAGTTAAATAACTCTCAACATTTTATATTAGTTTCAGTAAGTACATAAAATAACACAATCAGCCAACTTGACCTAAATATACAGAATTCTCCATTCAACAGCAGACTACACATTCTTTTCAAGACACATGAAATATTCACCAACATAGACCATATTTCTCAATATAAAACAAGTCACATAAAATATGTTCTACACCAACAGCAGAATTAAAAAATGAACCAATAACAAAAAGAAATCTGGGGAAATGCCCAAAATATGGAAGTTAACTAACACCTTTCTTACTACTATAGGAGTAAAAGAGGAACAGAACACAATTTTTTTTTAAATAGTCAGAATTGTATAAAAGTTGAACATGACATTTGAAATGTGTATAAACCAGCACACAGGGAAATGTAAAGTACCAAATGCTTATAACAGAAAAGAATTTCAAATCAATGATTTCAATTTCAACTTTAAGAAACTGAAACGGACTCTAGCAAATTAAACACAAGAAAACATTTTAAAAAACAGATACAGGCCCTCCCTGGTGGCGCAGCGGGTTAAAGCACAGCACTGAGAATCTAAAACCGCTTCCACATGAGTTCGATCCCCGCCTGCCCCGGAGGTGACCACATGGTGAGGCAGACCTCTCCTGACCCGCCCGCTGCTCCCCTCAGCAGTGTACTTTGTCGATCTGCCTGTTCTGCTCCCCACCTGTCTCTGGTGAAGCCTCTCACCCTCCGCATCTCTGGCCTGTACCCCAGTTCTATATGAATAAATAAATAAATCTTTAAAAAAAAAAACAGATACAGTAAATTAAAACAGAAAAACAATAGAGAAAAAAAATTCAAAAGCTGGTCATCTGAAAAGATTCACAAAAAGTATACACCTCTAGGAACTCCCTGGTGACCTAGGGGTTAAGTTTCAGTGCGCCCACCTTGAAGAGGGCCCCCCTCAATGGCCCACCTGAGTTCAAGCTCCAGCCAGGGAGATAATCCTTATGGCACAGCAGACCTCTCCTGACTGCCTGCTGCTCCATTCAGCAGTGTATTAAAGTAGATCCTCCCATTCTACTCCCCACTGTCTTTAGTTAATCGTATCATTCCTTGCACCTCTGGCTTAAACACCAGTTCTTCTAAACAAAAATAAAATCTTGAAAAAGTATAGGGCCCTCTCTGTTGGCGTAGCCAGTTAAAGCACAGCACTACAAAGCTAAAGCCACTTCAGTACTTGTTCAATCCCCGCCCTGGGCTGACCCACATGGCGTGGCAGACCTCTCCTGACCCACACCCAGTGCTCCCCTCAGTAGTGTACTCCATCCATCTGCCTGATCTGCTCCCCACTCTGTCTCTGGTGAATCCTCTCACCACCCCTGCACCTCTGGCCTGTACCCCAGTTTTGTATGCATATATAAGTAAATTTAAAAAAAAGTATAAACCTCGAACCTTCTGATCTTGAAACAACGCACAAAGACATAAAATTGCCAAAATCAGAAACATCAGAGAAAAGATCATTATAGAGCTTATAAACATCAATAAGCATATTAAGAACTTTATGCTAATGAACTTGATAACTGAGATAAAATTTCTTCAAAAGAAAAACTTCACCACAACTTTCTTTAAAGAAATATATATATATACAACCAAATGTTCCTACACCCATCAAAAAAATTGAATCGGTACTTAAAACCTTCCAACAAAGAAAAACCCAGGCCAGGATTGTTCTACTGTCACAATGACAGCCAACACTTAAGAAAAGAACACAAATTTTACACAACACCTTCCAGGAAATAGAAAATAGTTCCCAAGTCAGGCCTGATCAGGCCACCAAAGACAAACAAAAGCATCACAAAAAGAAAACTACAGACCAACATTAGCAAATTGAATCTAGCAATATACAGAAAAGTTAATACTTAAATGCTAATGAGGTTTATTCTATGAATGCAAGGTTAACACAAGATTCCAAAATTGTATAATTCACCCTGTCAACAGATTAAAATTATGGGTGATGAAAGACAGAAATTACCTCTGCCACTGCGCAATATAGCAGCATTGCAAATGCATGAAATGGTTGCTCAAAAGGCAATACACCCTTCAACTGGACAAACAAAAAAAACCAGATAAGAGTTTTTATCTTCCAGACATTCTAGTTAGCCCTGTTCACACCGGACCTTTAATATTCTATTTAGTCCTTAATTCTACACAGTTAAGAGGGCCATGAAATTTCACCAGGGCACCTAAGCAATAATGGCAAAGGAATTCTAAACATCTCATGAAATGATGGAAGAGGCAATCGGAATAGTCTCTAGCCTAACTTAATTAATCAAATCATCCTGGTGATTAAATGAAATGACAAATTACCACAGCAAGGCAATTACCCGGAATAGTGTGAATTGTGTTAGATACTGACAGAATTACATCTAAATTTCACAAACAATCAAATTATAAATGTACTACTCTTTCAATGAAAATAAAATCCTAAAAGGAAATATTTTTCTGACATACATTATAATTTCATAAAGCAACAGACATGCAAATAAACAATTACAAGCTAAATCAACTCTACAACTTTTATCAGGGGAAAAAACACATACTTCAAAATTATGTATAGCTTGGTAACTTTTCGGGAGTGCAGACAAGTACACACAAAACCAGGGCAGCTCTTGCCACTACACTCAGCCTCAGTTTCCTCATCTAGAAAATAATAAATTAGTTAAGTAATACAACAGATGATTTCTTTAGCATGCCTGACAAGTTACAAGAATAACCAACCCATTAGACATGGGAAAGTATCCAGTACAATCAGTCACCTGATGCAAACCCTCCGAAGACTTTGTAGGTTAGCAAATGAAGGGATTATATTCCTCTACACACTACATATATATAGATTTTAAAGCATAGTCCCTCACCTAGTTAGGTTTCTCAGACTCAATTTTCATTACACCTCACACTTATTTAGCATATACATAACACTGAGGCCTAATATCTACTTTTGGAAAACTTTTAGTCACTTTTCCACAAATAGGAAATAAGCACACACAACAACAAAACACCCATTTAAACACATTTATAGCTAACAACTCCATAAAATCTCCATACGGCATTTATACTATTACTGCTTTTCCTAACACTCACTTTTGAAAAGCTCTAATGCATACAAAAAAAAAAACAATCAAAAGACAGAAATTGTACAAATATACACACACAACGAAATTGCATACAGACCTTTTTTCAGTTGAGGTTTCTGAGATTCAGAAGATGCAGGAAACTGTGTTTTCTGAAATGAAAGAAATCTATATTAAAACATGGTCACATGGGTCTCCCCGCTGGCCTATGGGTTAAATCTCAGTGCGATCAACACTATGTCTGAGTCGGACCCCAGCCAGGGAACTAACCCACAGATGGCACAGCAGACCTCTCCTGTCTCACTTAATGTGTTCCCCTTAGCAGTATATCTTAGTAAATCTTCCTGTTCTGTTTCCCACTCTGTCTCTGGTAAATCATCTCATCCCCCTGCACCTCTGGCCTACACCCGTTATTCTATGCAAAAATAAATAACATTGTTTTAAAGTCATAAATATTGTCAATCTTCAGAAACACTCAAATAGCAATCAGTAGCTCTCCAACTATGCAATTAACAGCATATAGGCAGAATAATTTCGAATATGGTTTAAAAGACAAATTTCACATTGTACTTTTGCTATCCAAACTCAATAGTGTATAATGTATATTTAAGATACATATAACATAAATTTTAGCACATGCATAAATGTGCAAAAATAAAAGTACCAACTTCTTAGACATAATGTGTTAGTATTCTCAGTGGTACACTGAGCAGTTTCCAAACAAAAAGTGTTAACTTCAATAAAAGGAAGCTTATAAGGTTCCTACACAGAAACTGTCTAATGTTCAATTCTAGAAGAGAGCTATTTTCTAAAAGGACCTTACTTGATGTAATCTTAACTATAACCTTACAGAAAATCTTCAGATTTTTTTATGCATACCACCTACAAGCAAAAACAATGACTGAAAGTTTCTAGAAGTAATGAGAGGGACCTCCCTGGTGGCCTAGGGGTTATCACAGAGCTACCATAAAAGGACTATGAAGACCTGGGTTGGATTCTTTTTTTTTTTTTTTTTAAGATTTATTTGTTTATGCATACAGAACTGGGGTACAGGCCAGTGGTGCAGGAGCAATGAGAGGATTCACCAGAGATAGAGTGAGGAGCAGAACAGGCAGATCAACAAAGTACACTGCTGAGGGGAGCAGCAGGCAGGTCAGGAGAGGTCTGCTGTACCATGTGGGTCACCTCCAGAGGGGCTGGGGATCAAACTCACGCTGAAGTAGCTTTAGCTTCTTAGTGCTGTGCTTTAACCCGCTGTACCACCAGGGAAGGCCCCTGGGTTCTATTTTTTTTTTTTAAGATTTATTTATTTATTCATACAGAACTGGGGTACAAGCCAGAGATGCGGAGGGTGCAAGGATTCACCAGAGACAGAGCGAGGAGCAGCACAGGCAGATCGACGAAGTATACTGCTGAGGGGAGCAGCGGGCGGGTCAGGAGAGGTCTGCCACGCCATGTGGTCACCTCCGGGGCAGGCGGGGATCGAACTCATGTGGAAGTGGCCTCAGCCCCTCAGTGCTGTGCCTTAACCCGCTGCGCCACCAGGGAGGGCCCCTGGGTTGTATTCTTGATCAAGGAGCTGACCTACATGGCACAGCAGACCTCTCCTCTTGCCAGCTGCTCCCATTAGTAGTGTTTTTCAGTAATACAAGTAACAAGAAATATTAATATTTATATCCTGGATGTTCAACAAATCCTGACCAGATTAATAAGAAGACACACTTAGGTACATCATAGAATCTATACCAAAGTAAACAGGAAGTACTTAAAAAGCAACCAAAATTTTTTTACCAGATTATCTACAAAAAGAGAAAAATTAGATTGATATCAAAATTCTCACCAATTAAAACTGGAAGTCAATATTACATTAAGACATTTAATAATTATTCACAAGTATCAGGTGTTAAGTAAAATAAATGTTAATCTAAACACAAAATCAACAAATGGTGGCCTATAGTCTGTCAGGTTGAAAAATCTAGCCTATTTTTACACAAACTGAGAATTTTTTTATGAGAGAAAAAAATAACATTTTATAACACAAAATTCAAATTTTAGTTCTATAAGCAAATATCTATCTTAACACAGTCACACCCAGGTGCTTATTATATACTGCTTCCACACTATAACTACATCGTAAGACTATCTCACCCACAAAGCCAGGGGCCTCCCTGGTAGCACAGGTGTTAAGTTTCAGCACTATCAAGCTATTGGCAGCCACTGCAGCAGAAGTTTGATCCCCAGCCAGTTAGCTGACCCACATGGCCCAGCAGACCTCTCCTGACCCACCGGCTGCTCCCCTCAGCAGCGTACTTCATGGATCTGCCTGTTCTTCTCCCCATTCTCTGGTGAATCCCCCTGCACCTCTGGCCTGTTCCCCAATTCTTGTACGATAAATGAATAAATGTTTAAAAAACAAAAAAACTAAGTTCTTGCGGTCTTTTAGTCTTTTCTTTTCCACATTTATAAATCCATTTATACAGATCTATTTATACAGATTTCTAGATGTGCCACAAAATTTAGTTCACACAACATACCCTTATCCTACACCTAGCTTTTTAAAAAATATGTATATATTGACTTGGCTATCTGTCCAAATTAACATATATAATTCTAGCATTCTTTTAATGTCCACAGAACATTCTTAAGTATGGAAATAGCAGATGTCATCCACTACCTTAGTAATAGGAATTCGCTACTTCCAGGTTTTTTCAACCATCATCATTATTGAAATTAATACCCTATACTACAATGCATATGTTTCACTTTTATTTATAAAGGATACAGGTCTAGGAGTGGAACTGCTAGGTCCTTTTAATGTTATTACAAACTGCCAACTCAAAAAAAGGAAAAGTTCAAATTTCCACACAGTTGTAAACTGAAAGATGAAATTACTGTAAATATAACACTGCTAACAAACTTGACAACAATGAAATAAATTTTAGGCTGAAGAGCTAAAGTCATATCGAAACAAAAAAGCTATTCTCTTTAAAACACTATTCAAGATTAAAAAGTATAGGAAATTCTGCCATCAGAGAAATCAAGTTCATATTAGGCCACATGAATATTTAGCTATACTTGCAATGAGCACTGAAGAGTATCTGTAGCAATGTCATGGTACCATTACACCCTACATTTAAAATTATGTAAGTGAAATATTTTCCTTGGTATGTTTTCAATATTTAAAATCTAGTAACCCTAATCACGCTATTTTTTTTTTCCATTCATAGCTTAACAAAAAATTTTCCTTGGGAATTCCTCTGTGTTCACTTTTCCAATTGCACTAAAAATGATTTTATCTCCGTACAAATGAAAAGAGAACAGAAAATAAGCTTCCTAACAGATAAAACCTGGGGCCAAAACTAAGTTGTAAAACAGGTAGCCGAAGTTCCTATTTTGTCTCCTATGATTTTCAGGGCGTTTTCAAAGAGCAGTGATTTCTGATTTAAAGTCGTTCCAACAAATGGGTCGAACATACCTTCAAACTCAATACTAGTCAGGCAGGCAGCTTGGAACTTAACAAAAATTAAAGGCAGTTGTGAATACACGCCTCAAGAATAACTACTATTGGACCATCCCAAATTCATCTGGGCTACTTTGCATTAGCAATTCCGTTGACTTTAATCAACGCCTAACTGGCTTCAGCTGAATCCCAAAACCTTACCTGTACAAACTTAATCATAACAGAGAAAACCTGGTCCCATCCCTCCAAAAGGTAGCAAGGAGCGCTTTGTCGAATTCAATTCCTAAAACAGGGGCTTAACAGAAACTAACCCCATACAAACAGTGGGTGTTTCCTTTCCAGATCTCAGGAGACAGAAAAGATGGGACTACGGAAAGAGCTATTTCTGATACAAATCTCCCTTTTCCTACCAACCTCCCAGCACTGCAAAGAATTCAGCTTGGCGCCCTGCAAACCAGGTCCCCAGAGCCAAGGCCCGCCACCCCCGCAGCTCAGGACCCACCCGGCATGTCCCCCAGGGGATGATGCAAAAGACCGAAGCCGCAGCCTGCGGGCCTGCCAAGCCGCTGGGCGCGGCCAGACACTAGGGAGAACCTCACAGCTCACCGACCCGAGTCTCACCTCAGCCATCTTGGCTCCGCCCACCGCTACGCAGCCGGAAGTTAGCTGTTTCCCCGGCAACCAAACAAACGGAAGTGGTGAGGGGCGTGGGGGCGGGGCTTGAGTAGGAAAGGAAGTAGATCGCGGCATTGCATGGTGAGATTGCTTGCTAAAGGGACCAATGAGGGGCGGCGCAGCCAGTCGTCGATTCCTCTGCCTTAGCCCCCACCGCTTTGTCTGGACGTGGCTGGATAAGTCGCCGCGGCTCCCAGAACTGCAGCAGCGCGGTCCTCTCTTTACCAAGCGGCTACGCGTTTATTTCAAACTTCCGACCCGAGTCTCGGCCCCCAGGCCCTGACGCTAGGGCGAGAACCGCAGTATCGCATTACTTAAAAACGTGCTAGTGCTGCTGCTAGAGGTCACTGGCCCATCACGCTCCCTCCCTTGTTAGCGCCAGTGTGTAAACCCGCTGCGGGTGGGTTCATTTGAGCGCAGTCCTGTTTTGATTGGAAGTATTTAAAAATCAGGAGATAAGACAAAACTAGAAATCCAGTGCCCGGATAAAGAGCTAACCATGGCATGCATTCTTGCAAAGCAGTAAAATCCACCTGAATGAGAGCTGCGACAGTAGATAACCATTTGTTAGCCTTTGCCAGTCCTCCTTTCCAAACCCACTTATTTTTTGGCCCCTGATACTCAGTCTTTTCACTTGATAATGTGGACATATGTGTGCGCTTTGAAGTCGAACATAAACTCGGGACCTGACTACTCCATGACATGAGTCAGTCATTTATTTGAGCTTCATTCATTCCAATACAGAGACCCTGTACCCGGGCGACCCCAAAAGCGAGGAAGACATTGAATAATAACAAGCAAAATTTATCAAGAAACAAGTCAATAAATAGGAGATTAAGAAGTATCTCTTGAACGTGTGAAAATATAACTTTACCAACAAGAAAAAAAATTAAAATTTCCAAACAATTCTTTCCACCTCTTTCCCTGACAGGTATAAGAAAACATGCACTCTTCATTTATGGCTAGTGAATGAGAATTGGTACAACCTCAGCTGAAAACAAAATTTTAAATGCACATAGCCGTAAACTCAATTGTTTCAATTCTAGGAATTTATTCTACAGTAATACATGTGGGGAAAGACTTTACCTACAGAGTTATTCCCTGCAGCAGCATTGTTTGTAATAGCCAACACCTGTAAGCAAACTAAATGACCAATATTGAGGTTACAGAAATTAACAATATGCCCAGCTCTTATATGGTACATAAAAAGATTAATATTATGGTACATACATAATATTAACATATTAATAAAGAGCTGCAAAATAACAGATTAAAAAGTGTGGGGAGAAATGTATATATTATCTGTTACTAGTAGAAAGAGCTAAAATAAAGAGGAATATTATGTACATAATTGCTTGTATACTCAGAAAATATTTCTGGAAGAATATTCAATATGCTAAAGTGGTTATTTGTAAGAAGGAGAAATGAGTAGCAGAGGGACCGGGAAGAAAAGTGACTTTTTACTCTATATGTTGTGTACAATTTGAATTTTGTACTACATGGCTTTAGTACCTTTAATAAAGAAAAATAAAATGAAAAGAACAACACACTGTATGAATAAAATTGTAAATGTTTAAAAGGAGAAATATAAAGTAATAAGAATATTCAACAGTGAGATTCAATATTGACTTTTTTGGCCTCAATGGAAGAGTTGTTTAAATGAAACCTAAAAGCTTAATACATTAGCTTGGGGTGCGCGGGGTGGGGGTGGGGGGGAGTGGGAAGGGCAAGGAAGAATTCTAAGGCAAAGGAAGAGTTTGTATAAAGATCCAAAAGATGAAAGCTTATCCAAAAGGAAGACTAGGGCTGCTGGAAAGAAGACAAAATGAGTAGGAGAGCTGCAGTAGACAGAGAGACGAGACTGGTGAAGATCCATAGGGCCTATTTGAAGAATTTTATTCTAAGGGCATTGAGAAGGCAGTAGAGTTGTTGGTTTGTAGGGAGTTTTAATAGTCCAGAGGTTTTTGCTTTCATACCTATCATGCCATGAATTCACAGGGAATGGGTTCCACCAGCTCAGGCTCCTCACGAAGTATGCTTCTCTGTGGGGAGCAGATTGGTGCTTCAGTTGAACACAAGTATCTTTCTCTTTGTCTTCCCTTTCTTTCTGGTCATTTTCTTTTCATCTTTCAGGAAACTCTCTCTGCTCCTAGAGGGCTTAATATGTTCAATGTGAACATAATTCTCTTGGCAAGAACTCTGCCCTTGTTTGTTTACATCAATGCCAACTGCATGCTGGCATTATAGACTTTCAGTTTTGCCATGCTGGCCATTGTGAGACATTCCTTTAACAACAGTGTCCATTAGAAAGCATGTTGGTTTCTCAAACTGCAAAAACCATCCTCTTGAGGTCTACAATATCACTTTCTTGCAGATTTGCATATGTGTGGCCAAAGGAACAACTCCAAGATTTCTAAAAGATCTAGAAAACATACAGCAGGTGTTTCTCTTACCCTTTGTATTGGTCATTTTGGTGATTTACTGGAAGGTGCCCATTCCAGCTGAAAAGTAAGAAGGCACTAGAGTTTTGAGCAAGGAACAACATGGTCAGAACCTTTTAAAGAATTATGTTTAGGAAAATTAGGGATACCTAGAGTAATTGTGTTTGGAGAATCCTAAGGCATACTGAAGACAGTGGGAGCCTCTGAATTTCTCACTGGCCATGCAGAGAAACTATCACTACTAAAAAAGGATATGAAGTGAGTGGACATAATTCCTTTAGAACAAAGGAAATAACTTTGTTACCCATGCCTTGGTGCAAGACTTAGAAACTAACAACTCTGACAAAGCACAAGTTGAAATAATTGCATCAGCATTAACTACTTTATCAAATATGAGCCTGGGTACTATCTATAAGGAGATGGCTACTCAAGCTCAACAGGGTATAATAGTGCAACAATTAATGGTTCATTTGGACTCCGTCAGGAAAGAAATGGTTATATAGAGAAAGGTAAGTCTGACAGCAGAAAATTGGAAAATGAAATTGAATTAGAACAAGTCAAGCAACAACTGATAAATGAAACCAGTCAAATCAGAGCAGATAATAAATTAGACATCAATATAGGGAGAAAAAAAACTGATGGAAGCAACCAGTTACCCAAAAATTACCGAAACCAGAAGTAATTAATGACCTGGAAAAAAGTGACACTGAAATTGCAGCTTTAACAGTATTGGTGGAATCTAACAAACTTGAGACAACTTGTTACCTAGCAGCTTCAGTGTTTACTTGCCTGGCATTGGGACTGTATGGATTCTGGAAATAGTGGAAAACTACTGTATTATACTCATCTGCCACAGCTGAACACTGAATCAGGAAAAGTTTCCTTTTTCAAACAATGAAATTAGCAGTAGAATCTTCATATAATTAAGATTATTTAAAGTACACGTGGGCTAAAAAGAGATGATTTTGAATGGGACGATGTAGTTTGTTTTATTTTTATATCTATTATGAAAAGCTGTCATTTAAAAAAAACTAACTTGAAACAGAAAGGTCTTTTGATTTATTCTTTTGATAGGTGTTAGAAACCAGAGTTATTCTTGTATTTGCTTGAACCATGTAAATCATAAGAATTTACTTTGATGGTTTCTAAAAATTTGAAAACTGTTCTCAAGCCTACATACTTATTATTGTATCAACGTTGAGGATAAGTATAGCACTATTATCTTTTCATATAAAATACTAATATAACCCCAAAAAGCCATGTTTAGCTGATGAAGAATAAATTAAGGAACAAGAATTGATAACTGAGGGAAACTTAAAGGGTACAAGGATACTGCAAATAAGATGATTAAACCATTTGCTTGGACTAGAGGGACAGAGAGAGGGAAAAGAAATGGAGAAAAAGGGAATGGATTTTAAGAAATCTGGAGGTAAACCTGTGAAATATAATCGGATATGTGGGAAGATACTAGGTTTCTAACTTTAAAAACAACTGGATGAATAATACAAATATAGCCAGTTACTTTGGTAGGGATCACTAGAGATGATGTAAAAGTTCCTGATACATAAAATCTCCCTGAAAGGTGTCCCATGAGGAATAAACTACACTTTCACACCTTTATTAAATAAAGATGCTATTATTACTGTATGTTCTAAAAACCTTTTCTTTGACCCCAAATGTTGGAACTAAAGGTATTTTCTGTGCAAGGAATTTATAAGAAATCATGTTGTTTCTCAAACTGCAAAAACCAAACTTAATTATTTGCTTTAGTTAGATAGGTAATAAAAAAAATTCCTTAGAAGACCTCCTAAAATATAACCTTACATATCAGGATCATTCAAGCCATATAGCTGGGCAAGGAATTCCAAGCAAATTGTCGTTTAACTTTTCTTTCCTTCATGGTGGGTGTTACAGTGACAGGAATTAGGGCCCCCCCCCCGGTAGTGCAAGGGGTAAAGCACAGCACTGTAAAGCGGTCCGAAGCCACTACAGCATGCATTCCATGCCCAGCCAGAGAGGTGACCCACATGGCCCAGCAGACCTTTCATGATCTGCCACCCGTTTCCCTCAGCAGTATATTTCAGTACATCTGCTTGTTCTGCTCCCCACTCTGTCTCTGGTGAATCCTCTCATCCCACACACACACACACCTCAGCCCTGTACCCCAGTTCTTGTATACATAAGTAAATCTTTAAAAACTATAAATTAGTAAAGTGACAGAAATTAGTTAGCAATAACTTCTGAACATCTCCAGTATTTAGACGGAGCTACAACAGAGTCTCTACATTTTAAACATCTTTATGTCACTCCTACTATGATGGGGCCATACAGCTTTGTTTAACAACAATTGTTGGGTAACCTCTAGTACCTTATGCCTCTTATGTGATGTCCAGTTCTCCCAAAACCCACTGCACCAACTTCTGAGAGCTTAGCCAAGGCTTTGGGTAACACTTGAAAATCGTAGGAACCTACAGGGAACTTCATGACACGTTTTAAGTGCCCATTCCTGATATACAGATATACTAAATGTTGTCATTTTG